AAGAGGGGTGGTTTTACTAGTTAGCCCCTTGGAAATTCGTTCCCCAGAGAAGATGTTTACGCTGCTTCCAGTCCAAAGTGTTGTACTGTATCATCTCCTGTGGATGGTTCACTAATATATTCTCATTGACAGCTGCTCTGAACCCTACTTTCTGGGAGCAGGTAGTTGTGTTTTGATGAGCAAATGAGAAACGTCTCTGGATTTTATTGCTGCTGCCGTGAAAATCATTGGTCAGCTGTTTTTTCTCTATGTGCTGGCAGAAGGCTGCTGTAGTACACTCTGTCCAACAGCAATCTTTGGGAGTTGTCATATTTCTTATTGGTTTGTTCTGGGACTTTGAGGACAAATTAGTCTGCCCCAGCTGTGTTGCGTGTCTCAAAACGTACTCACATGATGCAGGCAGCTGGGGGGTGTCACTAGAATTGGTGCTGTGAACCCCTGAACGCCCTTGGGAATTTCCGTTTCATCCTGGGAAAGGGCCAGGGCAAAGATTTGGCTGCCATGCAAACCTGTGAGCAAACTCGCTCATTGATTTCAGTCCCTCCAGACGGGGAGGGTGGCTTAATGCTGTCTCATGTTCATATGTTAGAAACACAATGTGTTCAGGGCACGTGTTGGTTTTGTGTGACACAGCTCAAAGGCCACTTACCAACCAAGGTAAAGTGAGGGATGGGAGAAGTCACCTGCAACAGGGGAGAGAAGATGGAAGGAAGACACTGTGCCCTGCTACAAGGGCACGCAATTCCTCAAACTTCTGCCTCGAGTCCCAACCCAAATGTTCCTACGTGGAGCTGTCTCCTCAAAACCAGCTCCCTCTGAATCTCGCTGTATCTGCGCCTGAACTGTAACTTCAAAGAACTGAGCACCCACTGTGTTTTTTCCCCAGGATTTCACTGGAAATTTTATGTGATTATCATTCTCCTGTCCATCTTAATTTCTCTGACCGAGTCCATAGGCTTCCATGCATCCTAAGATTTAGTGATTGTTACTAACAATCCAGCTTGAAAAATATTAAGAGAAGCAGCAGAACCAATAAAATAGCCCAGTCAAATCAGAAAATGAGGTGATTCTTGTCTATACCACCTTAACATCAGCTGATAGTGTCTCGTCTGGCAGTCTGCTGTATGCCCTTTCTAAAAAAGTTAAAATGAGAGACAGGTTGTCTATAATTACAATAGCTTTGAGTTTCTGCCTTTTCACAATATCAGATGTGATTTACCAAGGTGGGGAAGGTCATCTCCTGACAGTGAGTTCCACGAGAATAGCCTGGGACATTGGCTCTGAGTCTCCCGAGAGTCACAGAAGACAGGGAGGGAGAGGCTGTGCAGTGCTGGTGCAGAGGCGTTGATGCCAAATTGGAGAGTTTAAGTTTGAGTAATTTCAGAGGCTACATTCGATTTGCAAAAGTAACTTAAAAGCTTTCAAATGTCCCGAACACAGAGCAATTCAGTGATCTTCCTGGAAGATGGCCATACATGGCCATGCTGCGCTGCCTGCAGAGATCCCACATGTGAGCGCTGACAACCCAGTCATGATTCTCCATCAGCCGCTCTCTCTGCTTGTTGTTTCTAGTATCATCTCTGACTGTTTCGTGCGTCTGATTCTTAGTTATATAGAGTTTATTGCCTTTCTACGTAATTGTTTATAGTCTATATGTGCATTTATATGTAGCTTTTATTTATCTAGATCTTAGTTTCTAAATATTTTCTCCTTGCTGGACTCACTGCCCTGAAGTGGCATTAGTAACGTGCTATATTGTGACTACACTAGATTCACCTAAACTAAGCCTCTCATAATTCAATAGCTGTAGTTTGCGCGTTATGTTACTGCCTTCCAGAGAACAGATTTTGTGTCTCATCTCTTCGTTGTCACCCTGTTTCATAGCAATAGCTCTGTAGTGTGGAGTTTTCATTGTTCTCCTCACCACTTCTGAACTGCGTTTTCTCTGGTGAAACTTCCATCGCATGTTACAGGTGATGTTTATTGGCACCAGGCTTATGAGAATCTTCATGTATGTTCATCATACCAATTCTCACACTGTGTTTAACTCCAGGATCCGAAAAGAAATCCCCACTGTTGTGGTTTCCAGAGTCGTCGGTGCTGTGGAATAGAGTTATAGATTAATATATGGTGGATTATCCATTCTCCAAAGGCAATGAACCAGAAATGCAATCATTTGTACTCACGCTATTGCCATCTTCTCTCACCTTTTTCAGTGATTGTGCCTTTCTTCAAAAGGTAATTGGAGAAAGAAAATCTACGTTCTCAGGAGGAAATAATCCCCACCATGGAACGTGACATGCAATACTAATGAAGGATTACAGCTGTTCAGAGAACTAGAGTGATCCTGGAGGGGACAGGGATGCTGCAAAGAGGACATTGCCAATAACTACTAGGCAAGATATATTTAGAAGAGTTAAAAGAAATCTCACCTGATTAGAAATAACATCTCCAGGTAAGAACAACCTGTTTTTTAAACAACCCAAGAAATTTGTATTTATTTTGTAATTGTTCAAATACTTAATCCTCTCAAAAATGAAAGATGCCTTCTGCTAACGTTAAAACAACTCTTTAAAGCAGATCTGATTTATTCCTCTTTTTTCACACGAGTCTCACTTTTTTGAAGGAGGTTAAGTGGCTAGAGAGCAGTTATACTCCTCTGGTTTGTATCAAGCAAACTGAAGAAGTAGCTTCTCTCTTCAGGAGCACGTTCCAGGACTGAGCCTCCACTCGCTAGCTCAGATTTAAAAGAAAAACAAAACAATAGCCAATTTCTACAAGGATTTCACTGATTTACAGTGAGTTCTGGAATCAGGCTTTTCTTGCATGACCTGTTAAGAATGAAGATAAGAATAAGTGTGTTACAAACGGATAATTCGAAAAAAGAAAAAGTCTCCATCTGTCTTTTAGTCTCTGAGGCTGAACGTATCACGAGCACCATATGTACATCTCAGTTGTAATACACGACTACAGCTGCCATTTTGTGAAACCAAATGACTGTGTATATTTAGGGCTAAGCGCAGACATGGCAAAGGCATTAGTCCAGTAAGCCAGTCAATAATAGAATGTAGAAAACCACCTCTGAGTTGTTCATGATACTTTGCTATCTGATTGATATAATAAGGCAAGTGCTGTGGGGTTCATAATTTTTTCTTTGGGTGCAAGGAAAGCAGAGCAAACAGAGCACTGTGGAACCATGTTCTGCTTAATGATTGTTGCAGTAGCAAGAAAAGCAACAATAAGGAAACTTATCACATATCTTCCATATGGGCTAAAAGCACACACCCTGTTGCAGCGCTCCTGCTAGGAATTACCGTGGTCTTTGAATAGTAGTGTGTGATAGTCATACCCTGGATTCTGAGGCCAAAACCAGGGACAGAAGATGGCATCCACCCTGTAAACAAATCTGTTTGCCCCGGTAGCTCTGCAGGGCGGGTAAGAGTCCCTGATGCCTAACACATGGGAATAGTGCGCCCAAGTCCTGACAAGCTGACAGCTGGATTGAGGATGAGACGCCCCAGAAAAGTCTCATAAATGGGAGGAAGGAATAGGGGTGGGAAGGTAAGAGGTATAAAAGGACCAGAATGATCTTTAGGTTAACTACACACACAAGGAGGTGGTTGTGGATTTCTGGAATACTTTCGTTTGTTTATTTTAAATAAAGAAATCCCTGGGATGGGAAGGATGAGGTCTGTGTTCCTACTGGCATCATGAGAGCAAGAGGCTTGTGGTGAGGTTTTAAACAGGGGCGGTAGTTTTACAGATGGGCTATGAGAAAGGTACACCAAAGAACATCCAAAGATATGAAGATACGACCCTGTGTCAAAGTCACCAGTGTTTTCTTTGTCCTACTCAGGCAAGCAAGGTGGGACCTCCCCAGGCTGGTGGCAGGGCACTTCGTCCATGCCCTCGCTGCGCGGGGAGAGGCTGTGGCACCTAGCATGAGGTGTCCCTGCTGGCACCCAGCTTAATTGTTGGACTGATGAGACCCCCGCTGCAGCCTGTCCCTGGCGCTGATCCCCAGCAAGCACCCAGAGCCGTTATCAATCAGCGTCAGTCTCTCACTCACTCTGTCGTGCACGTTGTGTCCAAACAATAAATAATCCAAGCCCCTGGGAGCAAGGTTGTGTACGTTACCTCAAGAACAGAGACTGCAAGGGAAGAATGAGCCAGGGTAGCCATGAACTGGGCTTCTGTCCTGAATCTGGGAGCTATTTAAAGACAGAAGCAAGAAGAGAAACAGGTGAGGACCAACCGACAGCCTGCGAAGGAAAACTCCTTTGCTTTTTTGTAAAGCAGAGAACTTTTCCTCAAAGGCTTTTTGATTTGCTAATCAAAAGTAAAAAGGATTTACTAGTTAATGTCTCAGCTGAGAACAGTTTCTCCCGAATCCAAAGCTGTTTTAGGTGCCCATTTTCCCCTAGTAAAAACTACAACATTCCTAATACGCTATCTCCAGGACTGAGTGAGCAGCCAGTCCCGAGCGGTGCTGGAAGTAGTTCTGGGGCATGTTTTCTTCCAGGGGTTCATCTTTCCAATCCTGGGCCAAATCTTCACGCTGCTTCCATGACCTTTTGGATCCAAGTCTTTCTTTGAAACATCCAGCTGCAACCATACTCATCCAAACTCAGTGGTCACACAGTGCGGCAAGAACTCTGTCACGTGCATCCAAAGGTTCGAGTCCCTTCTTTGGCTGGGCAGAAGAGAAATTATCAGCTGGGAGGGGAGTTCTCTGAGGAATCTGTGGACAGTGAGAAAAACAGGAGAATTAAAAGGGTCACTGGGGCTCTAGCTTACCCATGAGGGATAGGATAAAATGTCATGCAGAGGTAGACTTTCTGCTCTGTATACATTTTTTCCATTTGTGGCTGACAGCTCAGTATGGCATTTGTACATCACACTATTATTTTGATTTTTTTCTGTCTCTTGTAGGAAGAAAATAATCAAAAAACTCTGATGGTTATCATTGCAAAAATCCCCTGTATACCTGCTTTTGTGCCATGAAGATTTTCCTTGAATTTCAAGTGTTGCGGTCCCCTTGGAGCATCCAGACACTCTGCAGATTATTCCACCAGCATCACAGGGCTTTTGCACCTTTGAGTTTCTCAGATTATGAAGCCGTCAATCGCTGTGAAAAGGAAGTGCCTGAATACTTTAATTTTGCAAGTGATGTCCTGGACAAGTGGTCTCAAATAGAAAAGGTTGCATTTATGACCGCGTGGGTTCAGTATTTTAAGTGAAACTGTGGCCTCCCTGGAGCAAAGGGTGAAACTCACTGACATCAGTAGGACCAGAATTTCTTCCCCACTTTCCATTTTAGCATAATCTTACATTGACAAAAAAGGAAAGGCAATTTGCTTTAGCATTAGAGAGGACATGGTGCTTTGTCTTTCTCTTTATGAGTCTGCTGCAGCAGCGAGTGTAGTGCTGGGTTCGTAAAAGCCTCTAAATAATTTTTGAGCAGAAATGCCATTGCAAATCAGATAGATATATGCACCAAATTAAATAGGTGCCTTTTGAAAGGGTTCTTTTAAACAAAAGCTAAACTTGTGCTTAATATCCCCGCCCTGCAAAGCCGTAGAACATGTAATGTTGCCAAATTGCACTGTCTGCAGTATCACAGAAAATTTGCAAGGGACTGTAGGAGCCCCTGAAGTAACCAGCATGTCACTTACCCTTGTGTTATGTGTAGGAACGAAAGGGACCATCAAACCCAGCCCTGTGGTGGATAGATGGAAAAGGAAATGAAGTGAAGTGGAGCTTCGAAGAGCTGGGTTTCCTGTCCCAAAAAGCAGCCAACGTGCTTTCTGGCCCCTGTGATCTGCAAAGAGGAGACCGAGTTATAGTGATTCTACCCCGAATTCCAGAGTGGTGGCTGCTGAACGTGGCTTGCATGCGCACAGGTGAATTATAGCATTCCTAATCGTGTATGTAATGCTTGTTCCAACAGTTGGTTAACAGTTCATTTACAATTACGTTTCTTATTTGACTTTGTAGCTTGAACTTTTGACAATCAAAGGTGCTGACAGGAGTAGTCTCTTATGACTAATAGAATTACCTTCATTGCTTTTCCTTCACTTTCTGTGGCTTGTGTGGATTTAGAAATCAATTTGAATTAACTTCAGCTAGACTTAAGTTAAAGCTGCTAGAGAAGTTTACAGCCCTAGAGTAGTATTTTATACTTACGTTGTGCCTGGGGCAAAGGATCTCATAGAAACAGAAGCAATTTTGTGCTTCCCATCTGCACATCTGTATTCAAGTAGAAGCAGAGTCCATCTGCTCAGGGATGTATGACTCACTTTACCCTCACCTCATTTTTGGGTTGAATGGTGCTGGCATTCAACAGATCAGGGGAAGCTATGAAGTGATCAGGACGGAAAGTGAAAAATATGTAATAAATTTTCCATTTTATTGTACTTTTAGGTGTTATCATCATCCCAGGGACAACACAACTGACAGCAAAAGACATTTGCTATAGATTGCTGTCTTCGAAGGCTAAGTGCATTGTTACCACTGATGCACTTGCTCCCGCAGTGGACTCGATCGCATCCAAGTGCCCGTCTCTGAAAACGAAGCTAATTGTATCTGAGAGCAACAGGGCTGAGTGGCTGAACTTCAGTGATTTGTTCAAGTGAGTGTCCGCTGCCTTAGCTCCATGACAGTTATCTCAACTGGACTATTTCTCTAAAATATATTGTTTACACATATACTTCTGTCTTGTTAATGAACTAGATGCTTTTGAGGGGGTGGGAGAGAAGGCAATTTAATCATTTTTACATGAAGAAGGGGAATATTTGGGAATAGCCAAATGGGTAATTAAAAAATAAATACAGTCTTACGACACTTAAGTTTGTTACATATGACTGGGAAATAATATGGAAAAAGTAGACAGGAAAGCCTCTTTCATTCACAGCTGTGGCCTAGTTACCCCCTAAAGCTCAAATAAAAACATTCTCCATATATTGCACCAATCCATATTCCTAAAACTTGATGATAGTAAGACTTATGTGGATGGCCTTTCATTACGAAAGACTGAAAAAGGACATTGCAAAATGATCCTAAGGCATTTAGGAATCCACCTCACTGTGTACTGAACTGCAGCTGCCAAAACGGGCACCTGATGAGTAGCTTGCGCGCGCTGCAGTATGTTTGACCACAGAAGGGGTGCTGAAGCCTGGTGGGGAAGGAAAGCAAAATACCCTGCTGCCATGTGCCCAAGGCCTTAGGTGTGAGGTTGCCAGCTGACCTTTTGTTAAAAGCATCTATGTAACTAAAACCATATTTTTTCAGGGTGGGATCCAAGCTCTTCAATCCCTTTAAGAGCTTTATAGGATGTTGCATGTGCCCTCACAGCTGCAGAAATCTTAGCTAGCATTGCCTGTACAGCAGTTGTCTCACTGTATTTCTGCCAGCTCCTTCAAGCAGTTGCCCACCTCAGTGCCACCGAGCTGAAAGACCAAGGAAGCCGTAACACTGCGTTCTCAAATCTCCTGGAGTTACTAAAATTTGATTAAGTGGATTTGATGAATCCGCTTTCGTGCTGGGCTAATATTGCAGGGATTGGGTCCACGGCAGAGGATAACGATTTGAAATAATAAATAAACGTTATCTGGAACTGCACCAGTCATGTAGAGAGTGTCACCAGCAGCTGGGCAGGGAGCCCTCACGGGTGCCAGGCGCAGGCAAAGGATCCAAGCTCAGTTCGCTGAATAACATCAGCCACTGTTTCATATAACCTTCTTTTTTTCTAAGGGCTGCCCCTGCTGTCTATAACTGTGTGAAGACGAAAAGCCAGGACCCGATGACAATCTATTTTACCAGCGGCACCACAGGCTCCCCCAAAATGGCCGAACACTCCTACGGAAGCTTTGGTCTGGGATTTTTCCTTTGTGGAAGGTAAAGCATTCAGTTCAGTTATGCCTCTACAGCTCTGATATGTGAAGCGAACAGACGGATTTTTGTACATGATACAACTCTGATAGATGACAAGCCTCCCATGGTACTGACATGTAATTTCTTTTGGTGTCCTCAGCTGAATTGTACCTAGGAAACATGGCTCTTGTTTGATGTGGTATATGGCACCATTTTAGAAATGACAACTTACCTATTTAAATCCAGGCTAAATAACGTATTTCAATGAATAAGTTACAGTATCATTTGCTTTTCTTTATCTTTGCTAACGAAATAAAGGATAAGCAAGAGGTATCTATTTGACCTCTGTAGTTTTGGATCAAATTTACCATGCCTTTCTAAGGAAATAAAATAAAAAATTGAATCTCCACTTGCGGACTCCTTCATATTAATCACTTTTGTCTCCAACAGATATTGGATGAATGTGACTCCTTCAGACATCCTGTGGAACATGTCAGACACTGCTTGGGTAAAGGCCGCTATTGGAAGTATTTTTGGTCCGTGGTCCCAGGGTACATGTGTTTTTGTACATGCCATGCCACAGTTTGATCCAGGAGCAATCTTAAACGTAAGAACACCATGCTGACAATGAACAGTTACTCATATTTCATGTTGTTTTCCTGGAAGGCCACAAACACTGAGTCCCTTGGGTTTATGGGATTAGCTGTTTTAGGATAGCATAACCACAGGTGATTGTACTTTGACTAGGAATACAATACAAGAAGGATTTTGCAGCATGACTTTTTTGGGCATAGGATATAACCAGCTGCTTCCAGTCAGTGGGAGTTAGTAGCATTACTTAAATGTCTGCCCTCCTGTATTTCAGTATTGAAATGATAAATGAGCTGAATTACATGTAAATTAATATTTTAAGTAAGCTGCTGTGACCCTTTGGAAAGGCAAATCAGTACTGGAAAACATTAAAGGAGTGAGATCGACTTGTCCCTAAAGGAAATTATGTTCGAGCTTCTCAAGCCAATGTCAGATTTAATCTTGTGACATACAGAGAGGAGAGTGGCTCAAAGCACATTACATGGAAAATTGTATGTTCCTAACACATAGGGTTTATCTGGGGATTTTTACCCTCAATTTTACTTTCTTTTTAAAAATGGTGGCTGCTAGTTTGGTTTTCATTTTTTTTTATAAATTTCTTGGCCTTGCAAGCACTTGCTTGCAACATGCCTAGGGTTTCACATCTCAGCACAAAGTGCAGTAGACGGTAGAGGCTGCTCTACCCATGGTGTGGCTAGAGCGAAGACTGGTGAATGAGAGGCCTTTCCCTTGCTTTTATTTCCTTTGCCTGTCCCTCTTGCTGAGCAAATATCATTGAAGACAAAAGCAACACTAAAAAGTGGGGCTAAGTTCCACCTGAGTGATTGTGAATCATCTGCTAGTGTTATGGATGAGAAATGAAGACATGTCAGAAAACAGAGGCTCAGCTGAGATCTTTATTTTGCTAGCAAGGCACTTGTGTCCTCTGTGTTCAGTTCCAGCCAAAGGAGGATATATGTTTACCTGTCAAAAAAGAAGTGTTTAATACAGCATCACTCTCGACCCAGCCTGAGCTCCTGGGGATTCGGCTCTGCGGGCTGTACTGCATGTCAGGCCCTGTGTCAGGACAGCTGAGGACACTGCAGCATGTCCGACGCATTGAGGCTGTCCCTCTCAGAGAGTATGGGACCAGAGGAAAGACTGACATAGGCAAAATGTTCAAAAGAAACCTCTAATTTTTAGGTGCTTCCATTCTGAAGTGCCTGATTTTGTCCAAGGGTGAAATGTGAGCTCTACCGACATCACCTGAAAAACTTTTACTGTGCCTCCAGAGCCAGGTTTTCACACCAAGGGATTGTCTGTGTGCTTGAAGTGAATGTCAGGACAAACACAGCACACCGCTGATTCATCGCTGTCAATGTGTCACCTCTTCAGGTGACATTTGTGACACTGTAACTGAACGCTGACAGTCACAGCCGTTACTCTGGCTGTCCATGTAATTGAGGTTACAATCAGGCCTTATAATTTGTGCCCTAATACAGAATAGAAATTAATAGTTAGAAGTAACTTTTTTCCCCCAGAACGATGTTGTTTAACCTCTGTTTTCTTTTAAATTTGTCAGACCTTGTGCAGGTATCCAGTGACAACCATGTGCAGTGCCCCAACCGGCTACCGTATGTTGGTACAGCATGACCTCACCAGGTACCTTCCTCCTGTCAACGGTGGGACTGTCACCATGTCTGTGCAAGCTACTGTCTGCTGTCTAGTAGTGCTTTCTGTGGGCCCATATAGCCACTTAAGCTCAGAGTGGTGGCAAAAATGTGCTGAAGACAGGGGGCTGTCAGGAGGCACAGTGCTTTCATTAGCGTTGCAGAGAGGTGGCAAATCAAGACGAATTATGAGGTGTCGCAGATAGTAAATGCAGAGGACAGTGTTCAGCCCTGGAAGTGACATGTGTGGCTGCACTGCCATCAGTCCATGTGTCTGTGCAGCTCACCCTTTTCAGCCCCAGTCCAACTGGAGCTCGAGGCTTTTTCTCAGCCCTAACTGTCACCTTGCCATGTCCATAGGCTGAGCCTTAGATGACCACCAGCCCAAGCAAAGCCCAGACCATAAAGCACCTAATTTTCTTTGCTGCCCACCCTTTCCTTTGGCAGCCCCTTTCCAACCCCACTTCAGCTGGAGTGCTAGGCTTTCTGCCAACCCTAAACTTTATTCTAAGGGAGTGTGGCATGCCCTGGAGTCACCGGGTTCAATATATGGGAGTCAGGGAGAGCACAGTTTGTCCCCAGCTGTCTTCTGATACTCAGCAATTTCCTTTGTCCATGAAGTTACACATTTAAGGCACTGAAGCACTGTTTGACCGGAGGGGAACCACTCAACCCAGAAGTGATGGCACAGTGGAAAAGGCAAACAGGACTGGATATCTATGAAGGCTACGGCCAGACAGAAATCGTATGTTCAGCTTCATTTGTAAAGTGTTACAACTCAACTATCATTTAAAATTCTCAGGGGGCTTGTATACAACATTCTTCTTGGTAAATATATAACTTTGCTATAGATATTGACCAGAAAAAAAAAAAATCACATTAGAGTACGTATGCCTACCAGCGTGTTTTTATTTCGCTTACAACTTGGTTTTGATACTGCTTCTAAGACTTCAGCTCTAAACTATCTTAAACTTTTTGCCCAAGATTTTCAGTGAAGTCCACAAATACTTTGGTTCGTACAGACAGACGATTTAGATCTTATGCTAGCTCAACAGTGAGCACAGTAGAAGAACAGGAATAACCTCAGGAATGACAAGAAAAAAAAATACCTGGGCTGATTGTTTCTCCTTTGCAACAGGGACTTATATGTGCAACTATGAAAGGAATGAAAATTAAGCCAGGCTCCTTGGGAAAGGCAACTCCCCCCTATGATGTTCAGGTATTTTGGTCTCCTTTTCTGTTTGCTGTTGATTTCTTGGGAAGTAAAACACAGGAAAGTACAACATTCAGTACAACCTTCAGTACTGTGCAGTGGCATTTCGGGCTGTGAGTCAAACTTTGTTGGTTGACCCATTGGTTGGTTAGTGTTTAGAACACAGCTCTCTTACAATGGGAAACTATGAAATCACTCATGTGCCTTCCTCTTACAGTCGAAAACTATAATCACTCATGTGCCTTTCTTATTGCAGATTGTAGATGAAAATGGAAGCATTCTCCCTCCTGGGAAAGACGGAGACATTGCCATCAAAATCAATGCCAAGCGGCCTTTTACTTTTTTCAGCCATTACCTGGTAAGTCAACAGTGAATTTCCAGAAAGCTGGTTTAGGCCTGCAGGGTGGAATGTATTTATATCAACAGTAGTAGATGCAGCACAAAAGAGCTGGGGCTCTTCTTTTTGGCTTAGTGACTTTTTGACTTGAAGGTGCTAGCTCAAGTATTGATGGCAGCAAGATGCAAAAAACACAAACTTCAGGTAAAGCTAGTTATGCAAACACTTCCTCCAAGTATCTCACCTTGACTTCTGTAACACTAGTACCCAAAACAAGTTGCCAAGCTGCATCCCCTCTCTCCAATTTCAAAAGAAAGGATGCTTGTTTCTAGCGTATTTCCAGGGTGCAGCTCCCCAGCTCCTACACTGCTTGTTCTTCCCCTTGTTTGTGGTGCAGAAGTATTAGGCGCACCAGTCTTTCACTACTGCTCTCCTCTTCCTAATTACAGCCAGCTCACAAGGCAAGAGAAGCATCTTGAAACATACCCCAAATAACGTACAGATGCGGGGTGTTTATATTTGTTCCTCTCACAGCTTCTCTTTATCCTTTTTTAGCCAGAAAAGCGTACAACAAGGCTTAGCTGATAAGAATCTGAACTGCACTGCTCAGATCTGAACTTCTTCAAACTTGGTGACTCAGCCAGGGTACAGTTACAAACACCCCAAGGAAAAGCAGCTGAATCAGGGCTAGGTAAAAACATAGCGACTCTTCTATTTCTCACATTTCAACTAAGATACACCCTCACAGAGGCAGAGCTATAACGTTACAGAAATAAGGTGTTTCTTTTTGGACTGAGCAAGGACTAGGTGAAACCTCCATTCTCTCCCCCATTCTTTGACCTGCAGTTCTGTATCTGCCCATGTGATACATTTTTCCCCTCTAAAAAGCAAGCACAAGCTCTTACAGTGTTTAGACAAGGAGAATGCAATGAAAGATACAATGGATAGTGCCCAAAGAGGCAGGCAAAGTTCATCTCTCAGCTTAAGGCTTCTTAGTATTTAGAATATTTAATTGTTGCTTTGTCAACAGGATGATCCAGTGAAAACTGCTTCAACAATCCGTGGAAACTTCTATATCACTGGAGACAGAGGGAACATGGATGACGATGGATACATATGGTTTACGGGGAGGGCTGATGATGTCATCATCTCCTCTGGGTGTGTAAACTTCAGTCAAAGTGCCAAGAAATGTCTAAGAAATAACTACATCTTTCCACTAGTAAGCATTTAACTTCCCTCTCCTAGGTATCGTATCGGACCATTTGAAATAGAGAACGCCCTGATAGAGCACGCAGCTGTTGCTGAGTCAGCTGTTGTCAGCAGCCCAGATCCCATCAGGGGAGAGGTAATTAACAGTCCTTTTCCCATTCATAAGGCAGCTTGTGCCACAGAGGTTACACTCAACTTCCACTGAATTCACAAGACTCTTAGTACAGCTATACAAACTTTTCCACCACTGTATCAACAGCTAAAGGAGCAGAAATAGCTTGTGTGCCCCATATTCTGTATCTATTTTTTTATGTACCAATACGATCACGAGTTTCCTAAACAACATGCCATGGTGTATAAAGGTAACTGTGGTCAGAACTGAAGTACAATTTCATCCACTACCTAGAGAATTATATTCCTTAATTTGACAACATAGGTTTACAGAAAAAGCCCTAGAGTCTAAAAACTTTAAAACAGCCCTTTACAGAACTCTTACAAACTTGGAAGCAGATTTTGAAACTTTATTTTGTACTACTTAGTACCTGGACTGATGTAAGGTAGAAACATTCTTTAGTCCCATTTTTAAATTTGCTTACAGCACAGGTCTGAAACAGCAAGCCTGTATTGCAGGCACTCCTCGCTTATTCTCAACTAACTGCCTCATTTGCTAGCTTGCTGTAATTTAATTAATACTGTAATTCTTATTTATTTTCCCTTCATAGGTGGTAAAAGCTTTTGTGGTCTTATCTCCTTCTGTTAAGTCACAAGATCCAAAGGAACTGACATGTGAATTGCAAGAGCATGTGAAGAAAGTCACTGCTCCATACAAGTACCCCAGAAAGGCAAGTAAATATGAGTGACATTAAAAATAAAAATCACCTATTTTAATAGGGGAAGGGCTACAGACAAAAAGATTAGACTCAGCTCATAGCATCAGATTTTAAAACAAAACAAAAAGCTAAATAGGTACTATGCAATAAAAATGACAAACATTATTTTCCAAGATATTGTGGAAAATAATAGATAACTCCAATCTGTTTTTAAATAAAGTAGTATTTCCCCAGTCACCGTATTCTTATCTAAACTAAATAAGGCGGAGACCTCTGCTGTTCTCAGTCAAAATGTTATAAACCAAGTCTATTCATTTTACTTTTTTCCTCTTGCATCAGATTGAATTTGTCCAGCAGCTGCCAAAGACAATCACTGGAAAAATCAGACGGAATGAACTGAGGAAGAAGGAGTGGGGACAGATTTAGTTTTGTTAGGCAGTCTAAAAAAAAAAAAAACCTGCCTCCACCAATTCCACTCATAATGGAGCTTTTCCATTACAGTTGTAAGTACCAGCATAGGATTATGTTTCACCCATTAGACAGTGATTATGTGATAATGCACAAGCTTTAAAAACCCCAACTGTATGAACTTTCAATATTTGTGTTCTTGCTTAACAAAAATCAAGCAGAGCTAACAAGGTATATGCAAAAACCCAGCATCTTCTAGCCCCTTTTCAGAACTGTGGTATGTGTAGAAGTGATTATCAGCTGAAGGCACAGTTTGTTAACACTCTGAGGCCAGATATTTTAATTCACAAGAGGCTTACTACATTTAATGAGAAAATCATGATGCAGGTAATGAAGTTCCCAGAGAAGGCTATAGATCTTGCATGCATCCAAATTAATTACCCTGCTTATATGAATCTTGAAAGCCTCAAGATTTAGGAATGAATGTATTTACAATGAACATTTATCAAGGGTGAATTATGAAAAAACAGAAGTAGAAGAACGTGGACATCTTTAAGATATTCTAAATGTCAGACATAAGGCTTGACAAACGGTTGGCGGCTATTCAGCATTTTCTTCGGAAGACGCGTAGATCTTGTGCGCAGCAGAGCTAGAGGTAGAAGGAAAAAACCCTGAACGATCCATGGATCTGCCTTTGTCCTGGGTAATGCAAGTAGGCAGTCTTTAATCCTGATCATCAGCATCACCCACCAATAAACACTCAGAGTTGGCCTTTGTGTTTGTTCTCTAATGATTCTTTCCTAGGTGTGACCGAGACATTACTGGTTTTAATCTAGACACAAAAGGTTTAAGATTTAAAAAAAAAAAAAAAACCACTAAGGGAGGTAAGAAAGCAGACTTTTAATAAATGGAGGGGAAGGGACAGGACTAGCGAAAAAGTCCTCTTAATTTTCCAACTTCTAAAACAATTTTGAGAGAAGAGGAAATTCTAAAAGAAACACTGTTGAGAAACCTGAACACATCCTTTTCGTTAAACCAAGACAAGTAACAGAATGGTATTCTTCAAGACAAGTCTTTTTCCATTTATGACCCACAGGCTTTTATGCTAGAAATGAAATACTGAAGCTAGAAGGTTGAATAGAAAGCATACTCCAAATCCTATTGGAAAGCAGATCATAGCGACACTATTTTTAGTTGTTTTTTAAATTCACTGGGATAGCCAAAAAACTGCTGACAACAGAAACACGCACTGCTAGACATTATTTTCAATCTAAAACAAAGTTAGTATTGTAAAGCTAAAACTGGAACAAAAAATTACCCCCACCCAATATGGTGTAATAGAAAGCTGCTTTCATAAGGGGTTTCCAAGCAGTATTTAAATTCAAGTTTTGAGGCCTAAGGAAAAAATAAGAACAAAAAGGACTATTTCCCCCCCACAAGGATTATGTCTTTGAAAAGAGCAGCAGAAGGCTATTTGCAGGAAATTACTGGAAAGGATTCTGTTCAGCAAGTACATAGAGCATTTGCTCTAAGCCAGTAACTGCTGCATACACAGCTATGGTAAACACACACACAGTTTTTTGCTAAAATTCTTTGCGATGCCTGCCCTGCACTTCTACTGCTCTAGAATGGACAAATCTATTATTGTAAATTCTCTCACAATATTCAAGTATTTTAATCATAGCAGTTCTTCCCATATACTTTCAAAACTTAACATATCCCTGCAGAGAGGTGGGTGGGTGAGTGGGTATCCCTTTATCATACAGGATAAGATCAGGAGTTTTTATCTCATTCTGTTTTTCACATACGAAAATATATCTGCGAGTTCTGCAGTCACCCAAACTGTCAGATCACTCACTTGCCTAAAAACCCTCTGCAAACAACTGCCTTGTCCAGATCTCTCATTTCTGTCAATACATCCTGCTAGGGCTGATTCTGCATTGCCTTTTGTTTTCTGTAGTCATCAGATACAATAAAGGAGAGTCAGTTTACATATGCGTGCATACACACACATTTTTTGTGCTAGGTAAAGGCAATGCAGAACAAAGCTGTAGAAGAATGACAGCAAATTTCACCTTTCTTTTGTACACTGCTATGTCTGCAATAAAGTCAGCTCCACCTGCAGATACAGAGTGAGCATTAAAATTCTTACACATGTGGACTTAAAAAACAAGATTTCAAATGAAAACCCACTCTCCTCT